GGGGCTGGAGAGATGGCTCAGCAGTTAAGAGCACTGACTGCTCTTGCAGAGGATCCAGGTTCAATTCCCAGCACCCAGATGGCTGCTACGAACCGTCCTTAACTCTAGTTCCAGGGGAATTCGAAGCCCTCTTCTGACCTCCATGGCATTGCATGACATGGGTGTGTTTACCTACATGCAGGCAATACATGCATACACATAAAATAAAAATAATAGAATATTTTAAGAAATATTTATTTTTATCTTTGTGTATATGTGTGTATCTATGGGGGCCAATGCCATGGAGACCAGAAGAAGGTGTTGGATCCTCTGGAGCTGGATTTACAGGCAGTTGTGAGCCACCCCATGTGGGTGCTAGGAATTGAACTCGGGGCCTCTGCAAGGGCAGGGCAGTACATACTCTTAAATCATCTCTCCAGCCCTTCAAATCTTCTTCTTCTTTTTTTTTTTTAATGTTTCTATTCAATCACTTCCTGTTATGCGTTCAAATATGCACTCAGCATCTAGAATCACCATTATGAAACAGTATGCATCTTCCTGGTCCATAGAACTATCAGGTAGAGAAGGGGCCGCACCACATCTGCAGGTACTTAATGACTTCTTATTTCCAAAAGTACACAGCACCTCAAACAGCCCCTGCAAAAGGTCATGGTGACTGGCAAAGGGGGTATGCTCATTCAATTTCTAAAACTGAGAAGTGTACCAACAAATGGGAATGTACAAGACCAGTTCCCATCCCTAAATTATCCAAGTAATTAGCAAGTACTGTTTCAGAAACATTTGGGGCCAAAAACCTCTCCATAAACACCCTTTTTGAAGGAAAAAAAGCTAGAGTTTCTCATTCTTTTTCAACTGTTAGAACAATCAAACTATTTAATATCTGATGGAGCTGTTATAGCCAAGAAAGTACCATTTCAAACTCTTAAAAAATGATTTACCAAGCACTTTCCCATCAAGTGATGAAAATGCACTTTAGGAGCAAACAAAACCATAAAGTAGGATGTTAGATCCCATGTCAGTAACAAGTGAATGTCATTACCATCTGTCAGTTCCTGAATGTTACAGGAAACAAGGTAGCAGACAAGCTAATTCTTTGTGGATAAGTATCCATATTACATCATCACAGTTATTCATTTGCACCTTCAGAAGAAACTGCCAGGAAGGGAAACAGAAACATGCAACTGATACATGAATCATGAAACAGATTTTTTTTTTAAGATGTAAAAATATGATTAACTTTCTAAGATACTGGACATTTAAGGACTCAGAAGGCACATTCTAGACACAGTGTTTCTGATGTAACTGAAATCAAAGGACATTAGCATGGTTTGAAGAATAAAGTAAGGTACAATTAAGAAGTGTGTGCAGCCCTGTACAGATGGCCTGATCCTAACACATGTTAACAAAGCAGGTTTTGTGGGGGAAGGAGAAAGCCTGCATTTTCTATGCTATAATTTAGCTGACCACACCCCTCCAAAAATGTTTTAAGAAATGGGGAGGGGGGTTGCATTTAAAAACCAGTAACTTCCAGTAAACAGAAAATGCATCCCTTTTTAACTTGTTTTCAAATATGTTTGGGGAGTCATTCTGTATTACCTTGCTAAATAATATTTGGAAAATATGACCAGTCAATTTTAGTTTCTTGCTTAGAAGTAGTCTGCTAAAAGAAGTAACAGAAAACAACTAGGTTGCTTTTCACTTTTATTGACCTAATAAAACATTTTTCATTTAAAATATAAGAAATACCGCACAATACCTCTCATTGCTGTTCACTGAAGAGAGTTAATTTGTAAATTATCACAGCCAATGCAAATGCTATGTGAAAAATGATAGTTAAATTACCACTAAAAAGCAACTAGGAAAGAAGCATCAAAAATCCTAAAATTCTTCAAAATGGCTTGTTTATATATAAAACAAAATTACAGCTATTTCTAAAAGACATCAACATTTCAACATTTAGCTTGGAAATTAGCAAATCGCATTTTTTTTTAAAAAAAAATCCTGGTTCTTTTAAAATAAAAGGCCTAAAATTTTCTGAGGCTCATTTCCTTTTTGTTGAAGCAATTATTTTTTCATTCTTTCACAATAATTCCAGAATACAATCTAAGACAAAGACCAGCAGCTACTCTTTGTATATCTATTGCAAATCATTAAAGTGGAACTTTCATAGAAACAAAGAAGATCACCTAGATTACCGGAATGTATACCGCGAAATTAAAAAGTTCACTTGTGTAGTTAAAATACGAAAAAACATAGATCATAAAGCCAGAAAGCTTCCTGTTGGTGGCTGAGGATGAAGTCGTTAGCAACTTAGGATTCCCCAGTCCTTGGAATCAGAAATTGCACCTACCAGATTCAGTATTGTTCAGGAGAGGTGGCTTTAAAACACCCCGCTCCCAAAGCCTCCAAACCAGACCACGCCTTCCAGTTATCATTCAAAAGGGACCGTTTCAAAGTGTGGCACTACACACATTTCCCGCGAGTTTAAATATCAAACATGAGTCAACATTTTAGGCTCCCTGGGTTATGCAGGAGCAAAGCTGCCTCCCTCACGAGGGCAGACCACTTTTCCTGTGCAGGCACTCACCCACACCCCCCCCCCCCCCCCCCCCCCGTACTATAGAAAGAATCCGGGCGTCAGAAGCCGAGATGGAGATGCATGCTTTTTGGGTCTTCAACCTTTATGGCCTCCACTGACCACCAGCCTTCAATTGCTTCCCAACTCTCAGGCACCCCCAAGGCTCAGAAAATGCAAAGAGGGAGTCTTGACTTCCTGCTGTTGTTACAAGCGGAGGAAACACAAGAGCAACTTTGAACGCGTGGAAGGGCCACTGCTGCAAACATATGTCACCCAGCCCCAGCTCAGCCCTCGCGCCCCGCCAGGCTCCCGCCCGGGCCCTCCGCCCCGCGGCTTCCCAGCCTCCGCGGGTCCCCCAGTGTCAGCTAGGAGGCTTCGCGCCTCTTCCTCTGCCACTGCCCCCTTCCCACGGCCGCGGCCCCGAGCCCACAATGTCGGCCACCCAGGTTCCCATACAATGGAATGTCACTGCCCCGAACTCCGCGGCGCCCCACTAGGCCTCCCCCCAGAGCCAGCCCCGGGTCCCCGGATACAGAGTTCAGCCTGGAGCTTAAACTTCACCAGGACCGCGAGGTGACCGAGTCCCACTACTCCCGCCCAACCTTCCCTTTGGCCACTGTCTCCGACCGGCCCCAGACGCGAATCTTGCACCCTGCACCCCCCACCCAGCCGGGACCACCCGCCTGGAGTCGTCAGCAGCATTTCCCGAGCAGAAAGAGGGCGAGCCGAGGACTCCGGGGGGGGGGGGGGGGGCGACCAAGGCCCGGATCGCATCCCCGGCCTTTCCTGGCCCACCGCGACCCCATCATCCATTCTACCTGGCCTTGAGGCTGGGGCTGCTGCCACTGCAGCTGGGGCTGGAGGCGGCGGCCCTGACTCGGGGTTCGTAGGCCCAGGCGGGGGCAGGGGTCTGCGCGGCGGCGCTGGCGGGGGGCGCGGGCGGCGGCTCGGCAAAGCCCGAAGGCGCGTAGCTCGCGTCCATGGCGGGGGCTGCGGCGGCGGGGCGCGGGCGGGAGGAGCGCGGGGAGGAAGACGAGGCGAGGCGGCGGGAGCTGCCCGGAGCTGCCCCTTTACATGGCCCAGCCGACAGGCGGGAGCGCAGAGCGCCGGGTGAGGCTGGGCCGCGAGGAGCCCCGGCTGCGGCTGGTGGGGGGTGGGCAGGCGGCCAGGCCTCAGCTCGGACGTCAGGGAAGCGGCGGCGCCCGTGGCCGGGACTCGCGGCGGCCACAGCGACCGCGGCCGCGTCGCCCCATGTTGCTGGATTTCCCAGGATGCACCTCCCGCGCCCCTCCGCCCCGCGGCCTCGCCCCGCCTCCTCTCGGTGCACCGGGCTCGGGGTTCGGGTTTGCGGGCCAGGCTGGGCCGGGGCCGGGCTGCACACTGCTGGCCGCCTGGGCTGAGACGGGGCCAACCGGCCCGAGAACCAGCACGGGCGACCGCGGACTCCTAACCCTCATGGCTCGGCCAGCACGCCTTGTTGGAAGGGTCCTCACGGGGGAGGGGACGTGCGGTGGAAACCCGGCGTGGGGTGCTGCTGGGGAGGCTTGTCAACGCTTTGCCTGCACTTCGGTACTTGACCCTTCCGGGTTATTTTGAGGGATTCAGACACTCCATTCCCAGGTCGCGATTTTTTTTCTCTTCGGTCAAATCCACCAACAACTAACTGAACGGACTGCTTTGCACAGTTCCGTTTTACCCCCTTCCTGCTCAGAGTTTACTGGGCTTTAGAGGACCCTGTTCCTGCTGCTAAGGGGAGATTTATATTCAAAGAGATTCAAATTCAAACGTATTATTTTCCAATCCTCTCCGAAAGGGCCTTTCCCTGGGGCTCTTATTAACTGTCCCCACCCCCACCTTGGGGATTTTCTCTCAGGAGTTCAGAATCTTTTATCCCAAGATAAATACTGCCTCTTCATTGATTAATCCAACTACCATCTGGATGACTTTAATTACAATAAATTTAAACTCACTATGCACTACGTGTTGGAGTTTTCTGCTCAAGATTTGTAATCTCTGCAAAACTCTACCCAAACATGTCCTTATCTGACTTCCAAGCTGTGTGGTGTATGTAATTCAATGACTTTGAGGCTGTGTCATTGCCAATCAGTTGTTTCTTATGAGTAATGAAATTGGGGATCAGAGAAAAAGTTTGGCTAGTGAGCCATAAATTAAAAGTTAAAATTAACAGTGAAGTTTAGATTTAATGACCACCTCCCTTTAAAAATCAATATTGGCTTAACACGTAGTATGTGCTTAGCACAGAAATCTATCCCTCAAGATAAAGATTTAACATAAAGGTTTAAGCAAATCAGACAAGCGTAGTGGAAGACCTAATAAAGTCGATACTCTATCTCTGATGACCATCTAAAAAGCAGTTTAAATTTTAGTAATACTTGGTATTAGATTTACTATTCCTCTGTTGATTTTGTTCTGAGGGATTCTGTTTTCCTCCTGGCGCCTACATCCTTTTGTTCCTATTCATTCTTCCTTTTAAGCTCTTCTGCACCTGTGATGCTTGGAGCCTGGTCCCTGGGTGGGGAAGTAAAGAAAGTAGTCGTTATTTACAAATGAATTCACACGTGTGGACACAAGTGACCTTGCCAGTTTTATGTTAATTACAGTATGTATTTACTAAGGATGTCTTTGGAAAGTGATTTTCCTTGGGGAAGGAATTTGCCAAATATCAGATCCTGTTGAAAAGTAACATAAATCTCCTTTACAACATTTACTTTTCTTCCAGCAGTCTGGAGACCTGGAATCTAAATGAAACAAGCCTTCACAACTAGCTATTATATTTATAAGTACTTTTGTGAGCACTAAAAAATTTGTCTCTATGGAAAGTGTAGGAAACAGAGTGGCCTGCTATAAATGTTTTATGGTACTTAGTTTGAGATAACCACAACTGGTACTCAGAGTGAGTTATGCAGGCAATACCAAACAAGTGGTAATAAAACCTTTATAGTCCCTGCACCATTATGTAGTTTGTTTATACCACATAAATCAGAGAAAGATATTAAGGGAAATTTTTTAGCATTTTGAAATAATATTGCTCTGTCGCCATATGTTCCTTTGGCCGTTAAATGAAATTTCCACAGTTAACCCTAAAATCAATACAAATATATTCTCAAATGTTAGCTGTCTATGAACAACATCATGAAATCCTTTAGTATTATAAAGTGTTCATAAGACACAATGTGATTTTTTTTGAGGTATGTGAGCAAATCTTTTCGAATTGTACAAGCCATATACAATTGATTATTCATTCTGAATGAATGATCTTAAGAAGAATGTCTTTGTCTTTGCTACCAAAGGTGCAGTCTTTGGTATATGACAGCACTGCAAACTTTTTAATGATGTGTCTAATCATCCTCAACCAAGCTACTTCAAATCTGGTGGAGGCAGGATCAGAGGTTTAGAATGATTATTGTTGATCGTATTTTAAAGAAGATATCCAGGGGTCTTGGGTGATGACTCATCAGTTAAGAGCACTGGATGCTTTTGTTCCCAGCAGCCACATGGTGGCTAACAACTATAATTCCAGGTCCAGGGGATCTGATACCCTCTTCTGGCCTGCACACACATGATGCACTTAAATACATGAAAGTAAAATAGTCATATACAAAAATAAATAGTTTAAAAAAGAATAATAATGAATGGTGCTAGACACATAGCTTAGCAGTTAAGAGCACTGTATGCTTTTGCAAAGGACCCAAGTTCAGTTCACAGCACCTACATGATGTCTAACAACCATCTGTAACTCCAGTTCCAGGGGATCTAACATGCTGTCTGACCTCCCCAGCACTTATACACATGCATGTGAAACACTCATACACATAAAATAAAAATAAATAATGAAAAAAAACTTAAAAACAAACAAAAAAACCTCTCAGGGCAGGTAAGTTGTGAATCTCAACTGCTGCTAGGAGGTGGAAGATGGAGAAGAGGAAGAGAGAAAACCAAGCTGTTTGTAAGCAGCTGCATGACAGAGAGTGGGTGTCGGAGCTAACTTCAGAGGAGAGAGAAAGCCCAGAGTGTCTGGAAAAGCATGCCCAGGCTTAGTCCAGTATCTGAATGAAAGAGGTAGAAAAGAAGAAAAAGGAAGTTATGCTTTTCTGAGTTAAGACAGGAAAGTGGGTAGATCTTAGCAGAAAACTGCATGGCTATGGCTCCATAAGCAACTGCACTTAGGGAAGGAAAAATACTTATCTCTTATAAAGGGGTAATTATTCCTCCTATCTCTTTAGCTTGGATTAAGGTGAATCAGCCTTCCAGAGACATAGTTTCTTGGCCAGGTGATTGATAGGCCTAGCTGGATTAACTCTTCTGTTTTGGGTAGTTTAGAATGTTAGGTCTCCACCCAGGGCCAGAGATAAAACTTCAATTCTATTTTATTTATTATTGTTATTATTACTGTTATTATTTGTGTATGACTGTATTGTTATTATTTGTGTATGACTGTATATCATGCAATGTTGGTAGAAGTCAGAAGACAGCATCAGATTCCCCTGAAACTGGAGTTACTGATGGTTGTTAGCTACCATGTGGGTTCTGGGAATCGAACCCAGGTCCTTTGCAAGAGCAGCCAGTGCTCTTAACCTCTGAGCCATCTCTCAGACCCTAAATTCTATTTTCTTGAGCAGGGGGAAATAACTTTCCTTTAATGGGCCTTCAAGACTACTATAACATCCTCCCTCTGTAGAGGTAACATTAAAATCATTTGTGAGATTGGCTGAAAGAAAAGTCAGATGGCTTGGAGAGATGGCTCAATGGTTAAATACACTTATTGCTCTTGCAGAGGACCAGAATTCCATTCCTAGCACCCATGTTGGACAGCTCACAACTGCTTGTAACTCCAGTTCTCTGTGCCTGCCAAACAGGCTTCTCAGGGTGGTGAGGACAGCAGCTCCGATTCAGGGAGGGGGGGGAGAGGGAGGGAGGAGGAGGAGGAGGAAGAGAGGGAGACGGGAGGGGGAGAGAGTTTAAAAGAAAGAAAAAAGAACTGGTTATGTATGGTGGTACTCGGCTTTAATCCCAGTACTCAGGAGGCAGAGGCATGCAGATCTCTGAGACTGAAGCCAGCCTGGCCTATATAGCAAGTTTTGGGTCAGCTAAAATAACTGCATAATTGTATGGAAGAAAATAAACAAATCCTTCCTGCACAATACAGAAAAATTTAGTAGCATATGAAAAAGCTGTCACTACAGTATGCCTAGAAGAAAATATAAAAGAAAATCATGACCTTGGGCAGACCATGATTTCTTGATAAGACACAAAGAGTAAAGAACGGAAATGGAAAGCTGGTAAATTGGATTGCATCAAAAGCTTAAAGTCGTGCTATTTAAAGGACATTGTCAAAAGTATGAAGGATAAACCATAACACAGGAAACATTTGCCAACCACTTTTCTTGTCACTGGATATTTGACAAACAAAAGGTTGGTCACAGACTCAGAAGTTTCAATCCATGACCAATGCTAAGGCCTATGGAAAGGCAGAGCATCATGGGAGCAGAAGCATGTGGCAGAGCAAAGCCCTTGATCTCATGGCAGTCATGCAACAGAGAAAGTTAGAAGTGGGTGAGGACAAGACACAGTCTTCAAACGCCTACTACCAATAGCCTATTTCCTCCAACCAAACTCCCTCTCCTAATGTCATCTCCTCTCAAAAACACCACCAAATTATGAATCTATCAATGGGCTACTTATTGAAGTCAGGAGTCTTCATGACCCAATCACTTCTCCAAAGCCCTATCAGCTCTCAACCAAGCTTTTAACACAAGAGTCTTTGAGGACATTGTATCAGCACCATGCTTTAACCAAGTGAACTAACTGGCCAGATATTGAGGACACTCTATTCCCAACCATAACAATATATCTAACATAAGGGCTCATATTCTGAATGCATAAATAACTCTTGCATCTAACAAGAAAGAAGGTAGCTCAATAAAAAAAGGTATATATTTGGATAAACACTTGGCAGAAAAAGATACATAAATAACTTAAGGTTAAGTGATAAAAATATTCAACATCAGTTACCAAGGAAATGCAAACTAAAATTCATAACCATGCAAAAATCTGCACCGTGTTTATAGCAGCTTTACTTTTATTCTAAAGCTTGAAAGGACTCGAGGAAGTGACTGGATGATGTGATGGCCAATTCTGTCAATTTGACAGAATCTAGAATCCCCTAGGAGATAAACCTCTACACATGTCAGTGAGAATTCCTAAACAGGGTTAACTGAGGCAGGAAACCACCCTGCATGTTGGCAACGCCGTTCCATGCACTGGGGTCCTGGATTGAATAAAGAGGGGGCAAATGAAAATGAGCAGAGCACCAGTTTTTATCTCTGGGATTCCTGACTACAGACTCAATGTGACCACTCACCTCATGTTCCCACCACCCTGTCTTCCCTGCCACCATGGACTGTATCTTCAAACCATGAGCCAAAATAAATGTTTCTTTTCTTAAGTTGTTTTTCTCAGGTATTTTGTCTCAAGAGTGAGAAAAATAGTGAATGCAGATAAATAAAGTGATATATTCAGACAATAGAATATTTAGTGCTAAAAAGAAATGAGTTATTAAGTCATGAAAAGGCATGAATGAACCTAAAGGCCATGTTATTAGCCACAATTTGATAGCACTGCATAGCCAGTGTCTTAGTTTGTTCTTCATTGCTGTGACAAAATACTCTGACCACTACCAACTTGGGGAGGAAAGGGTTTATTCAGCTTGCATCTCCCAGGTCGCAGTTGATCAGGAAGCCCAAGGTAGGAACTCTGGCAGGAACCTGGAAAGGAACTGTGGCAGGAACCTGGAAACAGGAGCTGGAGCACAGGCCATGGAGGAACACTGCTTATTGGCTTGCTCCTGCTCAGCTTGCTCTCTTATCCAACACAGCCCCACCTGCCCAGGGGTGGCACTACCCACAGTGGGCTGGGCCCTCACACATCACTCAACAATCAAGAAGATGCCCCACAGATCCAGCATAATTGACCCCTTGTCAACTTGACACACAATCACTATTAAACCATAAACTTTCCGATTTTTGTCCCCAAGATGTGATGTTAATATCACAACATAAGACAGTACAATCTTAAAAACCCCACAGTCCTTAAAAAATCCAAACACTTAAAAGTCCATAGTCTCTTTAAAAGTCTCTTAACTGTGGGCTTCTGTAAAATCCAAAACAAGTACTGTCTTATTTCAAAGGGAAGAATGGGGCACACCTAAGCAAAACCAAACAGCAAAGTAGCTCGAGGCTGGACATCTGGATTCACTCACGATCTTCTGGGTTCCAAAGGGTACTGGCAGCTCCACTGCTCTGACTCTGCAGTCCACAGCACACTCAGCTCGTCTCCCAGACCCAGGCCAGCTCCATTCCACACTTAGGCCAGCTCCATTCCACACTTACTGCTATCCTTGGTGGTTGTCCCATGGTCCTGGCATCTCCAAAAAGCTGGGGTCTCCACTGAAACTGAGGCTACACCTTCGCCAATGGCCTCTTCTTGCCTCTTGGGGTGCAAAGCCTCAGATTCTCTCCATGATCCCTTCAATCCTGGGATCTTCACTGCAACTGAGCCTGCACTTTCCCCTATGGCCTTTCCTGGCCTCTCAGAGTGCCAATCCTCAGCTGTTCTGTGACCCCTTCATGCTTTCAACACCAGAACCATGCAGGAGACTCTTACACATTACCAAGTCCTGCTTCCAGCTTGAAATAGAGGAGCGGGTCCCCTCTGTGTGCTGACCCTGTGGAAATACCCCCCAGAAGACTCCACCACAGTGATACTGATCTCTTGTTACTTACAGTTGATTTTTCAGCCCCAGCTGAGCAGCATCAATTGTCCCAGTAAAGCAAAGGTTTTGCTTCAGGTTCTGGTCTCTTCTTAATCACAGCTGATTCTTCAGCCCCAGCCGACCAGAACCCACAGAGTCTCAATCCAAAATCTCACACGAACAGCCCTGATAGTCTCTGCTTCCCTTTGAAGCTTCACAAGCCAGGCCTCCGTCATCTACAACTCTTTCAGCGTAACTGTTCCAAGCGCCACAGCAACAAACTCTGAGCACACAATGGCTTTTCCAGCCCAAAGTTTCAAGGACTTCCACAGTCCTCCCCAAAACACCAAGGTCAGGTCTGTCACAGCAATATC